GGACTGCGTCGGGCCCGCGGCGCCGCCCAGCGGCCGCCTCGGCAAGCGACAGTGGGTGCTGCGCTGGGGTGCCGCCCCTGGTGTGTGAAGGGTGCGGAAGGGCTTCCTTCCAGCACCTTCCTTCCCGCCGGATGTGGGCCCCTCCGGAGCCAAGCCACCTCCCACCTCCCCAAGGAAGAGCCTTGCAGGAGAGGCTTTTTGCCTGCTTGCGATGCGTGACCTCCGCTTGCTCCTCCAGGCCAGGCAGCAGCTCCTGTTCTTGTAAAACAAGCCTGATCTTTTTCTCCGCGGCTCTTACTCTTTTTCTTACTTTTTTTAAAGTTAGCGATTAGGCCTTAATGCATATGCTTAAAACTTTCCCCCGAGTTACGGGGGGATCTTGGTTTTCCATTGCACTTAGAATAAATCTGAACGCTTACCCTAAGGTCCACCAAACCAAACACACGCCCACCCCTGTTCAAATGTCAGTTCTTGGAAAGGCCACTCATGCAATGCAATCTAAAGTCACCCTTAAACAAGCAAAAACTAAAGTCAGCCTTGCGTCACACATCACTGACTTGATATGACCCCATTTGACACTTTTATTTATGCATAGTGTCTACAGCCCAGCACAGTGTTATTGGCACTGCTGTTAGGTGTCCTGGACTCGGCTGATTCATAGTGACCTTAGGCACAACGTAATGAAAACACTCCCCGGGGCTGCGCCATCCTCACAAATGTTCCTGTGCCCGGGCCCAACCCATCTCATTGAGGGCCTTCGGCTTTTTTGATGTACCTTTGTAGATGCACCATAGATAGACAGGAGCTCAGGTACTATTTGTGGAGGGCATCACGCAGTTAAGTCAGGCCCTCAAGAGACTTCACTTGGGACAGCCAAGTGACTTCCTAGCCTCTACCCTCAAGCTCTGATCAGAATGAACTTAGTAAACACAAATCTAACAACATTATTATTGTTATTATTTCTTCCTCCTCCTTCCCCCACCCCGCCCAGAGCTTTTCTGAGTCACATTGCCAATAACAAGGGGTTGACAAACTTTTGAGATGGAAGAGCCAATCCTGTCCTTCACAACAATTTAAAAATTATCTGAGAGACATAAATACATGTTTACAAGAAATGAAACCACCATTATCTGGATAATATCCTTTCTGTTCTTTTTTTCAATTTTATTTCAGAGCCACGTGCATGTACCCAAAGAGCTGCGCATGGCACTTGAGCCGCAGTCTACCGACCCGTGGGCAAGAAGATAGAGGCAAAGCTTAGACCTGGCCCTTCTAGCCAACACCAGCAACGATACCCACCTGCCCAGAGCTGACCCAACAGTGACCCAAAGGAAACACTCTGTGGAGTACAAGGGGAATCTCCAGCACAGGATATTGAGTTAATAAACTTTTT